CCTCTCCACAAACCCCACTCCCTACTATCTCTGATGATGTTCCCTAGCCAGGTCATGAAACAACCAAGCTCAGAGTGTACCAAGAGCCCTCATATCAACCCTGAGCTATGAATATTCCCATTTATCAGTACCTCAAATAGTTAACTGCATTAAGAAATGATGGGGTGGGGGAAACACGCTTAAACTAATCCACTAAATAAAAGCTTAATTTTCAAGTGAGACTAAGCTGCCTCTCAGCTCTTCCTTTCTTGCTAACCGAGCAGTTTCTCCCAGACTCCTCCTCCTCCTCCTCCTCCTCCTCCTCCTAGTAGAGACCCACCTCACGTCCGGATCTTATGAACGGATGTCTGCCATCCATCCTGAGCGTGACTCAGCCGGCTTGGAAAGACCGGGTCTGCCTTATAATTTGGAGGGGTGAACGAGCCGTGTAGATGTGTCCAAGTAACCTCACGGGTGGGTGCTTTGATTGTGCGAACGTTCAGACTCCTCGCCGAGTTAATGAGTTCTGCTAGGTTCTTATTTCAGGCATATTTATCAGGACAGCTTGCTCTGCCTTTTTTTTTCTTTCTTCTTGGTTTCCACAGCCATTAGACAAAGCGCTTTATGGTAGCTGAAGGGCACAATTACCGAGCACCAACCCAACAATCTGCTTTTGCGGCTTCCTTCAGCTCGCAATCTGCTAAACATCTTTTAAAGGAGGAGGTTAAAAGCCCCCTGCCTAGGTTGGACTGGTCCCCAGCCACTTCTGCAACGGCAGGTTTCTTGGCGGGGGCCCGGACGGAGGATCCGGCGGGCAAAAAGTCTTTCTGATAGAGGTGGAAGGGGCCTTGGAGGTCTTCTAGTCCAGCCCTTCGCTCGGGCAGGAGACCCTGCACCATTCCAGACAAATCGGTGGTCCAGTCTTTTCGTGAAACCCTCCACCCACAACTCCTGGAGGCGAGGAGTTCCACTGGTTAATTGTCCTCACCGTCAGGAAATTTCCTCCTTAGTTCTAGGTTGCTTCTCTCTTTAATGATCGTCCACCTGTGATTTCTTGCCCGGCCCGCAGGTGCTTCGGAGGACAAGGTGACTCCCTCTGCTCAAGCACTGGAAGGCTGTCATGTCAGCCCTAGTCCTTCTCTTCTGAACTTGTGCAGAATGACAGACTTGGAAGGGTCATCTAGTCCAACCACCTGCTCAAGCAAGAGACCCTATACCATTCCAGGCAAATGGCTGTTCAGTGTCTTCTTGAAAACCTCCAGTGAGGGAGGGAGGGAGGAAGAAAAGAGAGAGAGAGAGAGAGAGAGAGAGAGAGAGAGAGAGAGAGAGAGAGGGAAGGAAGGAAGGAAGGAAGGAAGGAAGGAAGGAAGGAAGGAGAAAGATGGAAGGGATGGATGGAAGGAAGGAAAAGATAGAGAAGGAAGGGAGAGAAAGGGAAGGAAGGAAGGAAGGAAGGAAGGAGAAAGATGGGAGGGATGAAAGGAAGGAAGGAAAAAATAGAGAAGGAATGAAGTGAGAGAAAGGAAGGAAGAAAGACAGGAAGGAAGGAAAAGAAAGAAAGAAAAAGAAAGAAAGAAAGCATGCCCACAACTTCTGTCTTGTTTACCAACCTGTGTTATAATAATAATAATATTAAAAATATTAATAATAATATTAATAATATTAATAATAATAATAATAATAATAATAATAATAATAATAATAATAATAATAAAGTTGGAAGGGACCTTGGAAGCCATCTAGTCCAACCCCCTGCTCAGGCAGAAAACCCTACACCATTTCGGACAAATGGCTGTCCAGTCTCTTCTTAAAAACTTCCAGTGTTGGAGCATTCGCCGCTTCTGGTGGCAGGCTGTTCCACTAGTTAATTGTTCTCACTGTTAGGAAATTACTCCTTAATTCCAGGTTGCTTCTCTCCTTGATCGGTTTCCCTCCGTTGCTTCTTGTCCTTCCTTCTGGCACTTTGGAGAATAGCTTGACTCCCTCTTCTTTGGGGCAGCCCCTGAGATATTGGAAGACTGCTATCATGTCCCCCCTCGTCCTTCTCTTCATTAAACTGGACCTACCCAGTTCCTGCAACTGTTCTTCATATGTTTTAGCCTCCAGTCCCCTCATCATCTTTGTTGCTCTTCTCTGCACTCTTTCTAGAGTCTCACTATTCATGTCCTAAAGATGAGATGGTCCAAGGAGGAGACCGAAACATAGAAAATGACAGTAATGAATAGAAGAAGAAGAAAATTACTTGTGAAATAACTGATACCAACAAGAGTTTTGGATGGAAATCTTTCTTTGGGTGTGCTGCAGGCTTATGACATTAGTGCAGGGGTCTTCAAACTTGGCCCTTTGATGACTTGTGGACTTCGACTCCCAGAATTCCTCAGTCAGCGTGCCTGGCTGAGGAATTCTGGGAGTTGAAGTCCACAAGTCATAAAAGGGGCAAGTTTGAAGACCCCTGCATTAGCGCATAATTGCTGTCTGGTCTCGCATGTACAGGATAGAATGGAATGGAATATAGAGAATAGAAAATAGAGTTGGAAGGGTCCCTGGAGGTCATCTAGTCCAACCCCTGTGGTCTTAAATGGGCTGTCTTAGGATTTACCATCTCTGTCTTCCCGAGACTAGTGGAGGGGCCACAAATGCTTTCCCTGTTGAGTTTCTGCCTTCTGGAACTCGCCTTTCTGACGCGTGTAATGTGCAGCGCCGCTGGCATTTCATAAATCCAGCAAAAAAATAGAGACAGACAGAGATTTTTTTCACAGAGTTTTTGGGTGTTCAGCCTGTGGTTTTATTGACCGAGAGTACCAGATTTATGACTGTAATTCTCTTTTCTGAATTTGTAACTTCTAAAGTCTTTTTTTTCTCTCTCTCTTTTTCTTTTTGGATTCCATTAGCCTCCTTTTCCTTCTTGGCTAAAAAATAAATAAAATGGTGTAACGAACGTCGAAAGAGGAGATTTTTAACCATGACTATTGAGACAAACCTTAAACAGACACCTACTAATAATAAAGCGAATCTGAAGACTTGTCATCGTATAACTTACTGCACAGCTGCTGGGAACAGAAGTGAACTGTTTCTCTTTTTTTAAAAAACGCAGTTATATCAAGAAAGACGCTTCTGCTTTACTTCCCTATTATTTTTATTATTATTATTTGCATACATAGATTTAGAGACCTATAAGTCCTTGACTTGTTTAGCAAGCATTTGAAGTGAAATGGCCCTAACAAAAGGGACTGATATCCAGTCCTCGTACTTACGACCGTGGTCAAAATTCAGGCGCTTCCCAACCAGAGTGTATTTACAACAGTTGCAGTGTCCCAGCATTGTGTGAGCGATATTTGCAACTGTCCCAGCTGGCCTCCATCAAGCAAAGTCAATGGGAGGGAAGCTGGATTCGCTTAATGACTGCAAGGGTTCACTTAATAACAGGGACCAAAAAAACGGTGGTAAAATCAGGCCCGACTTACTAAATAACCACCTTGCTTAGCAGCCCAAGTTGGGGATCTCCATAGTGGTTGCAAGTCAAAATCTACCTGTATGGATTGTCAGATAAATAGATGTGGGTGGAGGTTCCTTCTCCAAAGCTTGTGGGTTGGTTCCCGGACGTTTCGTTACCAAGCTGGGTAACATCATCTTCAGCGGAGTTCAGGGGATGTTTGTGTTGGTGTTCTTCTGCCTATAAGGGCTTCATGTGGTCAGTAGGTGTTGTGATGGGTCAGCTGTGGGTGTGTCAAGTGAGGGTCTTGTGATGGGTCAGCTGTGGGTGTGTCAAGTGAGGGTCTTGTGATGGATCAGGTGTGGGTGTGTTGAGTGAGGGTCTTCTGATAGGTCAACTGTGGGTGTGTTGAGCAGGGGTCTTGTGATGGGTCTTGAGATGGGTCAACTGTGGGTGTGTTGAGTGAAGGTCTTGTGATGGGTCGGGTGGATCTGTTGAGTGAGGGTCTTGTGATGGGTCAGGTTTGGGTTTGTTGAGTGAGGGTCTTGTAATGGGTCTTGGGTCAACTGTGGGTGTGTTGAGCGAGGCTCTTGTGATGGGTCTTGAGATGGGTCAGGTGTAGGTGTGTTGAGTAAGTCTTGTGATGGGTCGTGATGAGTCAGGTGTGGGTGTGTTGAGTGAGGGTCTTGTGATGGGTCAGGTGTGGGTGTGTTGAGTGAGGGTCTTGTGATGGGTCAGGTGTGGGTGTGTTGAGCGAGGGTCTTGTGATGGGTCTTGTGATGAGTCAGGTGTGGGTGTGTTGAGTGAGGGTCTTGTGATGAGTCAGGTGTGGATCTGTTGAGTGAGGGTCTTGTGATGGGTCAGGTTTGGGTGTGTTGAGTGAGGGTCTTGTAATGGGTCTTGGGTCAACTGTGAGTGTGTTGAGCGAGGCTCTTGTGATGGGTCAGGTGTGGGTGTGTTGAGTGAGGGTCTTGTGATGGGTCAGGTGTGGGTGTGTCGAGCAAGGGTCTTGTGATGGGTCTTGTGATGAGTCAGGTGTGGGTGTGTCGAGCAAGGATCTTGTGATGGGTCTTGTGATGAGTCAGGTGTGGGTATGTTGAGTAAGGGTCTTGTGATGAGTCAGGTGTGGGTGTGTTGAGTGAGGGTCTTGTGATGGGTCAGGTGTGGGTGTGTTGAGGGTCTTGTGATGGGTCAGGTGTGGGTGTGTTGAGTGAGGGTCTTGTGATGGGTCAGGTGTGGGTGTGTTGAGTGAGGGTCGTGATGAGTCAGGTGTGGGTATGTTGAGTGAGGGTCTTGTGATGAGTCAGGTGTGGGTGTGTTGAGAGGGTCTTGTGATGGGTCAGGTGTGGGTGTGTTGAGTGAGGGTCTTGTGATGAGTCAGGTGGGTGTGTTGAGTGAGGGTCTTGTGATGCGTCAGGTGGGTGTGTTGAGTGAGGGTCTTGTGGTGAGTCAGGTGCAGGTGTGTCGAGTGAGGGTCTTGTGATGGATCAGGTGTGGGTGTGTTGAGTGAGGTGATGAGTCAGGTGCGGGTGTGTTGAGTGAGGGTCTTGTGATGGGTCAGGTGTGGGTGTGTTGAGTGAGGGTCGTGATGGGTCAGATATGGGTATGTTGAGTGAGGGTCTTGTGATGGGTCAGGTGCGGGTGTGTCAAGTGAGGGTCTTGTGATGGGTCTTGTGATGGGGAGGTTACATCAGGTCAGGGTTAATGGGAGGGGAACTGCTGGTGAGAGTGGGGGACTGCGCGGGATGGTTGAGAGTCGGTGCCATCTCTGGCTGTGTGGTTAATTTGGATCCCGAGGGCTTTGTAGGCCAATTGTAAGTCGATGTGTCTATGGATGGAACTGCTGGTGGAGGGCCAGACTTCGATGAACTCAGGACCGTGGCAGGTGGTAGCGTGGCCGATGACTTTTGGGTTGCTCCAACCGAACCGGTGCTGTTTGGTGTCGCTGTGGGTGGAGATCAAGGATCTGGGATCATGGCCTTTGACTTCCAGCCTAGCTGGCTGGGGAATCCTGGGAGTTGAAGTCCACTCAGCTTAAAGCAACCGAGGTTGAGAAACACAGTTTTAGACGCCAGTTTTACAATTTCAAATATTTTCGTCCCTTTTCCGGAATGTCTATGACCTTCGAACGTGTCGGACCCCCCCCGTGCCCCCCTGTATTAACATCCTGCCGTTTATTCCTCAGCAATTACTCCGGGAGATGCAACAGATGGCCAGCCGCCCCTTTGCTTCCATCAACGTTGCCTTAGAAACGGACGAAGCGCCCCCGGACCTCATCGGAGGCAGCATTAAGGTGAGACGCTGGCCCAGCCGGGACCGTTGCGAGCCGGTTAATATTTATAGATGCTGCAGATGCTGGACTTCGGGCCCGGCTGGCAAGTCCGGAGTCGAAGCGTATGAGACATTTAGCCCTAACCAAAAGCATCTATGTGCCGAATCCGTCTATGTGCCTCGGTCTTGATCCGACTTCCTTCCTCCGGGCTGCTCGTGTCCATCTTGCGGTGATGTGGTTTAAATTTAATAAATAAATCCAATTCTTTTTTTTTTAGAAGATGATGATGATGATGATGATGATGATGATGATGATGATGGTAATAGAATAGGAAGGGACCTTGGAGATAATAGTATTAGTAGTATTAGTATTAGTAGTAGTACTAGTAATAGTAATAGTAATAGTAATAATAATAGAATTGGAAGGGACCTTGGGAGGAGTAGTAGTAGTAGTAATAGAATTGGAAGGGACCTTAGAGGTAGTAGTAGTAGTAGTAGTAGTAGTACTAGTAGTAGTAGAATTGGAAGGGACCTTGGAAGTAATATTAATAATAGTAATAGTAATAATAGAATTGGAAGGGACCTTGGAGATGATAATAATAGTAGTAGTAGTAATAGAATTGGAAGGGACCTTGGAGGTAATAATAGTAATGTAATAGTAACAGTAATAGAATTGGAAGGGACCTTGGAGGTAATAATAATAATAATAATGATGATGATGATGATGATGATGATGATGATGTAGTAGTAGTAATAGAATTGGAAGGAACCTTGGAGGTAGTAGTAGTAGTATTAATAATAGAATTGGAAGGGACCTTGGAGGTAATAATAATAATAGTAATAGTAGTAATAGAATTGGAAGGGACCTTGGAGATGATGATAATAATAATAGTAGTAGTAGTAATAGAATTGGAAGGGACCTTGAAGGTAATAATAGTAATAGTAACAGTAATAGAATTGAAAGGGACCTTGGAGGTAATAATAATAATAATAATAATAATAATAATAATAATAATAATAATAATAATAATAATAATAATAATAATAATAATAATAGAATTGGAAGGGGCCTTGGAGGTCATCTAGTCCAACCCCCTGCTCAGGCAGGAAACCCTATACCTAACCCTATAAGATAGGCATAATATCTTGTAATGAAGGACAACGCAATTTAATAATATTAATAATGAGGTGATAGTATGTCTTGATACTGCCCTGGTGAGGCCACACTTGGAACACAAATGTCTTCTTGGTGTCCTGCCACACTCTTCAGCAGTGCTCTTCAAACTGTGGCAACAGTAAGACCTGTGGACTTCAACTCCCAGAATTCCTAGCTGGGGAATTCTGGGAGTTGAAGTCCACACATCTTAAAGTAGCCAAGGTTGGGAACCTCTGTTCTAAAATCCTGCTCAGTCTGCAGGAGATTGGGCTCAGCCCTATGAGCCTCAGGCATTGCAAGTTGTGTGTGTGTGTGTGAATTTTTCAAGTGGCCTTCCGGGTACGCTTTAAGGTGTTAGTTACCACCTTTAAAGCGCTCCATGGCATCGGACCTGGATATCTCCGAGACCGCCTTCTGCCACAGATTCCCTCTCACAGACCGGTACGCTCCCACAGAGTGGGCCTCCTCAGGGTGCCGTCGGCCAAGCAATGTCGGCTGGCGACCCCCAGGGGGAGGGCCTTCTCTNGCCTAGGGAGAATTTTAAATAGGGACAATTTTAATTATTATTTTAACATGACACAGCGGTAAATATTTGTTTTTAATTGGTTTTTATTGGGGATAGTGCTTTGTACTGTTTTAATATGCTGTGAGCCGCCCTGAGTCCTGTGGGGAGAAGGGCGGCATATAAGTCTAATAAATAAATAAATAAATAAATAAATAAATAAGTGTCCTCCCCTTTTCCATCTCAGCCTCGCCCCCACTGCCTCCTTGCTCTGCTGGCCCAACTTGCCAGCCTTCCACCTCCTTCTTCCCCTCCCTTCTGGGAAAAATCCCTTGAGAAGCTGGCCCTGTTCTCCCCCCCCCTTCCTCTTCCTCCCGTTCATCCACCCACCCACCCACCCACTCCCCCTCCTCATATTCCTGGACTGGGGAGATACGAGATGCGGGCATATGTTCCTAATTAATATGGAAGCGGGCAGCCATTGTTGTTCTGCATACCAAACGGGCCTGGGAATTGGCGAGCGTCTACCTGCTTTGAAATTCATCCTCCACAACCGCGTTTGTGGCCTTTTTTGACGGAAGCTGAAAGTGACACGGCCACAGGGAATCGGGGAGCGGTTTCGTCAGACGTGCCACAGTTTGGGAAGCGGGGGGGGGCGGGGGGAGAAAAGAAAAATCACACAACGAGACTCAGTTGCTTAGATTTGCTCACCGCCTCTTATATATGCTTTCATTTCCCGTGCTTCCTTGATGGGCTGCGTATTCCCTGTGCAGCTACTCAAGGCATCCAGGTTGCAAGACACGTGCCAGCCTTGCCCCTGTGAGTTAGTTTGCATTTCTTAACACATCCCGCGTTGGGGAGGGGGATACCCTTAGATCTCCCGGTGTAGCTACCAAAGCGTGTTGTGTCTTGCGCAACGGTTTTTTTTATATCCACCGTTTAATTCCGGGTAGGAAGAAAGAACGAACGCCATCCCTCTGTGAAAATCAGATAGTCCTTGACTTACAACCGTTTGTTAGGTGAGCGTATGAAGTTACGGCGGCCCCGAGAAAAGCCAATGACGACGGTTTCTCATACTTTGCAATCGTTGTAGCATCCGCATGGTCACGTGATCAGAATTCAGACACTCGTATTTATGACGGTGGCATCGTTCCCGGGCTCACGTGATCCTCTTTTGCGACGTTCAAACAAGCAAGGTCGATGGGAAGAACCGGATTCCCTTAACAACCGGGTGTGTTACCGACGTAACAAACCGCAGCGATTCACTTAACAGACGTCAGACGGGGCAGAACTCACTTTAAGAACCACCTCGTTTAGTGACGGGAATTTTGGACTTCGTTGCAGCCGTCTGAGGACTGACTGAAGATATTGGGGCTGAAATTGTGGTCGTAAAGCCAGGACCGCCCGTGTTGTTGACAGATGGTGAATAGGGCAGCGAAAGAAGACACGGAATTTCATCAAATCACATCCCACGTCTGGAAGTGAGAAGGATAAGTTGGAAGAAGCAAAGAAGCTCTCCCGACTTCATTTGTGAAGGAATGCACGAAGGCCGAGAGTTTGTGACTTGTTTGGCAAACCTCTTTCTCCCCAAATGCAAAAGTGACGGACAGGCTCCCCTTTCCCCAGACCACGCGGACGCTGAAATGACCATCTGCTCTGGTTAGCGATGTTTTGAAGCTCCCTTCGGCCTCCCTTCGGCCACCGGTGGCTCCCTTCGGCCACCGGTGTCAGCTGGAGAGACCGAAGTCTTTCCCAAAGCCGCCACTTGCTGCCTCGTCTTCAAAGTTTGTGGCTCAAATATCCAGGATTTAAAAAAAGAAGTTTATTTTACTTCAGGTCCAAGATTATTTAGATCTGCCAGAAATTCGTCTCCTGTGGGGACCTAAGATTAAGGGATTCCAAAAGCTGAAAGCCAGGGTGGTGTTAAAACACTGTAGCTAAGTATGGTTAAGACACCAGGGTAGAAAGTGGGAGACGGTGAGTTCTAGTCCCACTTTAGGCATGAAAGCCAGCTTGATGATTTGGGGCCAATCACCAGGAGACGGTGAGTTCTAGTCCTGCCTCAGAAATGAAAGCCGGCTGGATGACTTTGGGCCAATCACCAGGAGACGGTGAGTTCTAGTCCCACCTTAGAAATAAAAGCCGGTTGGATGACTTTGGGCCAATCTCCAGGAGACGGTGAGTTCTAGTCCTGCCTTAGAAATGAAAGCCGGCTATTTGACTTTGGGTCAATCACCAGGAGATGGTGAGTTCTAGTCCTGCCTTAGACACAAAAGCCAGTTGTCTGACTTTGGGCCAATCACCAGGAGACGGTGAGTTCTAGTCCCTCCTTAGACACGCAACCCGGCTGGGTGATTTTGGTCCAATCACCAGGAGACAGTGAGTTCTAGTCCCGCCTTAGGGATGAAATCTGGCTGGTTAATATTGGGCCAGTCACCAGGCGATGGTGAGTTCTAGTCCCACTTTAGACATGAAAGCCGTCTATAAGACTTTGGGCCAATCACCAGGCAACAATGAGTTCTAGTCCTGCTTTAGACATGAAAGCTGGCTGGGTGACTTTGGGCCAATCACCAGGAGACGGCGAGTTCTAGTCCCGCCTTAGGCACCAAACCAGTTGGATGACTTTAGACCAATCGCCAGCCGACAGTGAGTTCTAGTCCTGCCTTAGCCAGGAAAGCTGAGTAAGTGACATTGGGCCCAATCAGAGGTCCCTTCCAGCCCGATTATTCTATGTTGTGTGTTAAATCAGCCAACCCCGCTCTAGGTTTGTTTGAACCCAGGATCCAGACAGCAGCTGATACTGGAGCAGAATAGCTGAAGGGGGGCAATTCAACACTCCGAGTTAATTTCTTGTATTCCTCTCCATTTGGAAGGTCGAGACCAAATCCACCCTTCCCAAAACATCCAAAGACCCAGGGTGCAAATTTGTCGTTTGCTCGTGCCGGTGGCTATCCGTGACCCACAACAGTTCATTTAGCGACCGTTAGAAGTTGCAATGGCACTGGAAAAAAGTGACTTGGGACCGTTTTTCACACTTAGGACCACGGTCACGTGAACAAAATTTAGACGCTCGGCAACTGATTCGTATTTATGACAGTTGCAGCGTCCTTGGGCTCACGGGATCCCATTTTTGCGACTTTCTGACCAGCAAAGTCAACGGGGGAAGTCTGATTCGCTTAACAGCCCTGTGACTGATTTAATGACGGCAGCGATTCACCGAACATCCGTGGCAGGAAAGCTCGTAAAAAATGGGGCAAAACTCGCTTCACAAATGTCTCCTTTTGCGACAGAAATTGCAGTCGTATGTTGAGGACTACGTATGTCATGGTTCCGACAGAGGAAACTCTTCAAAGAACTTCGAGGC